CGCTAGAGCCGCTGGCTACGGGCACTGGTGTGACTACTTCAGTGGCCAAATTGCTGCAAAGGGAGGAGGAGCAGGTGAAGGCAGGTGTGGAAGCGGCTTCATCGACTAAGACTCCTGATGGCCAACAGAAGGGGAAGAATGTAGATGAGGTGCGGGATGGTGCTGGAAAAACACATGCGCATGTGCCTATATATATACACATGCAGGTGCATGGGTTGTTTGCCTGCTTGCCATCTATACCCTGCAGTATTGGTAGAGACACAAAGCTATGTCTTGAGACAATGACAGCACTATATATAGAAAAGGTATAGAGAAGGCACTCCTACAAAAATACATCAGATTTAAACCGCCCTTCATCTCCCTTCCTTTTCCAGGAGTCTGGGTGGATATAGGCATTTAAAGACTTTTGGTGTGTCATGTTTTGGTGGGACTGCACTTTTTGGCTAGAGGGCTACGACAGCATCTTATAATTGTAAATCTATAATCTTTTTCGAGCTTGGAATCGTCTGCGCATGTTGCAAACAATTATGATTTTGTGAACGGTCTTATATTTTTACATATCTTGCAGTTTGGTGTGTGCACGCATTGACCCTTTGGAGGAGGCGCCGCTGGTTCTGACCCGCAGAGAGCAGCTCGGTCTGAAGCAAGACAAGGAGAATGCCCGTGGCCGTGGAGGTGGACGTGGACGTGGGCGAGGAAGGAAGCAGAAGCCTGCGAAGGAGACTGGCGAAGCTGTTGGTGAAAAGCCGGTGGAGATTGAGAAGGAGGCCTTCGAGTCACCAAGACCTCGCCGCTTGTTTGATGATGCGCAAGATCCAAAGGCTGCTGAACATAGTGAGAAGGCTTCACCACCTGTCAAGCAGCCAAACAAGAAAGCCCGTAAACAGCCAAAGGCTAAAGCCAAGCAGGTGGATCAGGAGCAGGAGGCCAAGGAGACAAAGGATCCTGAGCCAGAGGCTCCAGTGTCAGCTGGAGCTTCACCTCCTGTCAAGCAGGACAAGAAGCGGGCGAGAAGATCAGGCAAGAGCCAGGCTTCACAAGCAGCTGAGCAAAAGCCTGCAGGTGACCAAGCCCCTGAAGTTGTCCCTGAAGCTTCCGGTGCTGCAAAGAGCAAGGAGAAGAAGAAGCGCAACCCATCATCAGCTGCGGAGGAGCAGGCGCTCAACTTCTTGACTGGGATCAAAAGAAATGATCCAGCAAAGTGCTACTTCCTCGAAGGCTTGTTCGCGGCTGCCAATGGGCCTGAGGATGAGGTTGTGAAAAAGGAGGACTTGAAGAAGTTCGATTTCTGGCAGCTTTCTATGTATTGGAAGAGCAACCGTGTTGGCCTTATCCAAAAGATTGGCAAGACCAACAAACATGTCTTGTCCTTTGGAGGGGCCTATTGCCCTTCCGTTGCATTGCCGCTGCGGGCGGTCTACTTCTACGTCTGAAGCTTAGAGGGTCTGATGGACTTGTACACTCCAAAAGGGCAGTGGCTGCATGCATAGGATTCAATGGTATCAGGGCTGCTCGGGCACAGTTTCATATTGAAGCATGCGCAGCTGTAGATGTATACATGCACCTGAATCTGTGAATGTAAAGGTTTGGAATGGTTTTGATCTAGTTAAAGTGCTCAGTACCGCCTGGGTGCCAAAGCATATATACAAATGGATTTATAAGCCTCCAAAGTGTATGATTTAAGTGATTCGCAGTTGATCCATGTCTCTTTATGGCCAATGTAAACCTTGTATTCATTCCAAATAGCTAGTTGTCAAGCCTTCACTCACAGACTCATTTCTACAGTTATAAACATTAAAGGAATGGGTTGTGAATCGTGTTACATATGCATCATGGATGGATTTTGATGCTGATGTGTTTTGATGTGGGGATGAGGTCGACTTCGTGGGTGGCGATGTGGCACCGGAGAAGGTGAAGGACTTCGAGGATGGTGAAGTGATCACCTTCAAGGAAGGGCTAACCGAGATGGTCAAAGCTGTGTCGATTGCGCATCGCTTGGGCAAGAGCTTGAAGGACTTTTGAGCTTAGGTAGAGTTTTCCGTGAGATCCTGGAGTCAGTCAACCTTGCATTGCAGCAAATACTCCATGAGACATCATAAGACTTAAATGTGAAATATGTTGAAATTCAATGTTACCAGTGTTGGACAATGTTGGACATATACATGCATGCATGTTCCGTGTGTATACTGTGTATATACATCATGTTTTTCTTGAAACACATCTGCTAATGTTGCTTTTGGTGCTTGGTGCTGACTGCGTGAACGAAGTGTTCAATCGGTATTTAGCAAAAGCTTTCAAGGCTTGAGTTTGGTTGGAATTGTGCATCTTTCCATAGGGAGGCTGGTGTTGGGGTTATATAGTTGCCCAGGTGCGCACATGTTAGCTGAGTCTACTTCTTTTTGAGAGTGCAAGAGCTATATAAAGCTATATAAAAATAATTTCGATAATTTCGATAGTTATATTTGCTTTGGGAAAAGCTCGCATTGGATGTAAACAGCGCAGGGCAACTATATAGGTTGGCAAACAGGGAGTGATAACATTGCCTGTCACATTGGCCTTTAGGGGAGTGGCATGATGATCCAGCCCCAGGCATAGCGTTGCAATACTTCTTGGCGCCTTTTGGGAAAAGGAAAAGTATTGCGAGCAGCAGTGGGTATTCTAATGTCCCATGAAAGAAAAACAATCCAATCTTAAATTGAGGGAAGTCAAAACTATACCAAATGCATTTCCTTGTGCAAAGCTTCCAGCCTTGTGATCTCGAACCCCCTTTGCAGTATAGTCTTGATGTCACAGCCCTCCACCCCAAGTCTTTTCCGGCAAACCACGGTCCTGAGGTGGAAGCGATGGGCAAGGACAGGCGGCGCGCCTGGCAGAACCGTTTGGAATCAAGGTTGGACCCAGAAGACGGTGGGTCTGGCCAGTTTTGGAACTTCTCAAGAGGACTCTGGACAAGTCTCGGCATTCTTTATGTCACATGCGTTTTAATTGTGTTACATGTGATGTGTGCACAAAGGAAGGAGTCTTTTGAACATTTGCTGGACTTCTTACAAGATATATATCTGGATGTTGTGGCAGTCATGGTATACATGCACCTTCTTCTAAGTCACAACTGTGAAATCAGTCAAAGGCACTCTCTTGGCCAACGTCTTTGCCGTAGGTGAACGCATTTGGCTCAGCAGGGTGTACACTGGGCTCACCACGAGACTGGTACAAGACCCAATCCATTGTAGATCGTTCGGTTTAATGGGAAAGCCATTGACGTTGCCGGAACTGGTCTGGAGGCTTCAATACTTGAAGGCTCCCAAGGCCGGATTGTGAGAATCAAATTTGTAAGCATACAGCATGGGGCCTGTTCCATGTATACATGAGCATCTCTAGACCAAAGCACCTTGGCCTATGCCTGCCCTACAGGTGCTCACCTCCTGTGTATTGATGCTATTGTGGAGTCAGAACGTGCAGACCCTAACAGAGGTGGGGGTTGGGGCTCCATTGGCAAATATAACATATACAAGAGATTGGATTCAATCAGCCACGTTTGTACCGACAATTAGTTCACATCAGAATCTGAACTGTACATGGATTCGTGGTTGTTGGCAAACAGTTTCTGATGTTCATCATTTTTGGATGATATTATCACCTTTCATGCAGACCCTTAATTGCTTTGCCCTGCAGTCGTATGACTTCATTGAAGTCTTTGCCGGAAAAGCTCTGACGTCCACAGTGATCAGAAAGGCAGGCCGCGATACAGCCGCTCTGGACATTGACTACTTTGAGGATAAGGGCACAGGATCAAAACCACGGTCCAACTATTTCGATATACTCACTCCCTCTGGATTTGCGATCCTTAGCTGATGGTGACTGTTACAATAATGATGTTTGTTTATACATTTCTTTATTTGGAGGTGACAAATTTTCCCCTGGACTAGAATTCTGACTTTAATTGAGGAAACAGAACCAGCTATAGGAAAAGTGTGTGTATAGGGGGGGCATGAAACTGTAAGGCTAGCTGTGGCGAGCATCCTGAATGCCAAGCATGGTGCATCGATGGTCCTTTTGGCCATCGTTTGCACCTCATTCACAGTGATCAACCAGGGAACGTCAAAACGGCACATTACACATCCTTGTGGCCGAGAAGATCTGGAGTATATCCATGCTGCCAACACCATGGCATCCAGGTGTTTTGTTTTAATCAGAAATCTTGAAAATACTGGTTAATGCAGTTTTTTGTACTTGCTTGGACTGTCTAATACACGTGTGCAATAGTAAAGCAATCCGTATTGGTGTAAACGCGGCCACGGGCGCCCAGGTTGTGCCTCCTTTTGTACCTCGCAGAGGCCATGTCGATGACGTGGCTGGTGGAGCAGCCTGGAAATTCTCTTTTGCGATTCTACCCCCGCATCATGGACACCTTTGGAGACCTACGGGCCCTCTGGTTGGAAACCATGGTGAGTCATGGTACTCTCAAATGGGTTTTTGTAAACTCTGCACGGCACTTCGACATGTCTTGATTCCGTTTGTTCCAACCAGTTCTGGTTCAAATTGTATGCATCTTTAAACCGTTTGTTGTATAATTTGGTTCTCGACTTCCAAGCCACTGATTAGGTTGCAAGGGATTGCTAATTGCCTGGTACAAAAATGCATATGGGACATGAGGTGACAACTGTGTTTTTCCACCCCCACACTTTTTATCACATGTAAGAGGCGCCTGCAAAAGGTTAACTCCTGGAATCCTGGCTTGAATGAAGCAGTATATATAGCACTGATCATGCATGTGGAAACGCTCAATCATTCAGGTGTTTGTGTAAGCCAGAAACTTACCAAACTCAGTCCTTTTATATAGTTCTGGCATGTATATGGGGCCCAGAATGGTAATCTCAAAGATATTGCTGTTTGAGCTCTTATACCAACATGAAGTCCTGAAGGTCCGTCATCAGGTGCCTTCAACCAGCCTTCTTTTGCTCGCGCCGTTCTCGCCTCAGGTGTGGACGACAAGGTGGTGGATGGGCCACTACCACTCGAAGACGCCCAAGAGGCATGTGGGCTATTCAAACAGTGAGAAGGTGGGTCTGCTAAACCTTGGAAAGCTGCGGGGATGGGATTATGAATCCTCAAAGTACAAGTCATCCAGAACAGCGATCACGAAGGTGGACCAGGATGGCAAAAAGACTTTTCAAGGCTGCAAGAAGCAGCTTAAGGATAGTCAGCCCCTTTGTTTGAATTGTCATGACTGGAGCTGGGAATGTGAGTTGAGTGGAAAGGGGATGATGTGTGAATTGAACATGTGCACTAAAAGGTAGCGGAAGTTGGAAAGGGCATCTGCACGTGCATGTTCGTGTGATATTGTGTGTGTGCTTATGTGGTGGGGGGTGGATGCCTGGTATATGCACTCATGGATCAATCGTAATATGTGCATGACTATATCTGTGGTTTACATACATGCAGCAATGCATTATGTATTGTACTATAGAAACCTATATAACTGTAAGGGTATATCCTTGTGAACCGATATGGAAATACTTGAAACTGGTACAGAACGAAGAACCATGCAGAAAGGTGGCTGGAGGAATATGCTATATACATATAAAACCGTTGATTTCATGATGGAACCTTTCTTCTCCCTGAGTTGATTGTTGTGGAAATATATTCTTATTCAACCAATCTGATATAAAGAGATCGGAACTGGAAGGCTGAAAGACTACATGTGTTTAACAACAGGGGCAATTGTTATACAGCTATATAGCCCGTTGATTGTTTTTGTACACACAGGACACCCAGGAGCCCTCTTCGACCAAAGACTTCCCAGCATCATCTCCATCTAAGGACTTATCCGTACAGGTTTGGCCTTCGAGTGCTGCGGATCCTACCAGATTTGATCAAGACTGGCTGCAAAGAGCTGCCGGCCTGTCCTGAGGATTTCGACCCTTTGACCAACTACTGTTGCCAGAGTTTCACCGATCTGTGGGACGATGCCCATATGTGTGAAGTTCTGCAGTACTTGAGGGGAAACACCAACCTCAATATCCCTGCAGAGTGGAAACCACACCTCCTTAACTAATGCAGCCAAAGTGCCACAAAGGCATCGAAGCTGATCCCAAGGCCTCTAAACAGTTCATGAGGTTGGGCAAGTGCTTTCTGGCATTTTTGGGGCAGAAGCTCAAAAACCAGGTTTTTTGGCCGTAGAAAACCCGTAGAAAAATCCGTAGCCGTAAGAAACCCATAAAAAACCCCGTAGACAACCCGTAAAAAGCCGTAAGAAATTATGTAGAACTACGTAGTTTTATCCGTAATTTGAGATTTGCCATTTGAAGCTTTTCATGAGGTTTTGAGCTTCCCTGCCTTTATGCCGCCAAATTATTGAAAGACCTGGTGCATTACCCTGTGGATTTTGCCATTGGAAAAGATCTGTAGTCACAGGAATTGAGGGTCATTGAGTCAGGTGGATTTGGGATGCAACTATCTCAAGAAGGTCTTGCGCAGGAATGATTTGTTCACCCTTGTTCACCCATAACTTTGAGGATCAAATATAAGCTTGGTGTCACCGTTTTTCACACTTTTGGGTAAGAGTGGCCATGGCTATCTCCTTCCCTTCCAAAAAGTGGAGCTGCGGTTCATTGGAAGAGGGCAACAACCTTCTCTTGAACGCCAAGAGTGAGACGCTTCGCACTCGCCGGCAACAGCTCGACGATCAAAGGAAGGCTAGGCGATGTGAAGACCGTTTCAACTCAAAGGTATGAACATGTAAACTTTGCATATTCTTTAGGTTTGGAGTGCTCTTTGTGCCACTACAGCAGAGTGCTCAATGAGAGAATCACAGAAATCAAAAACATATCAAACACCAAATCAATGGGATGTATATGTCAATGCAACCATGTCTCTCAACCCTGTATGGGGTGGCATTTTGTTGAAGTCTAGAAAAGTTGGACCTTGAAGTCTGTGTGATTAATAATCTGCTTATAGATGATGGGTATCCGCACTGCGCAGGCCCTGGAAGAGGAGCTTGCTCGGCTTCAGTTGGCGGAAGCAACAATGGCTACTGAGGCTCCTCGATGGGCATGATACGCATGATTGTTTCCCCATCAGGCAGTTTCCATACAAACTCTCCTCAACCACTCAATGCTTTGTAAATGTTAGCCCCACAGCTGAGAACTATCTTCGGGGTACCACTTTATGCATCTTAATTTTCATAAGGTCATTGACCATGTCATGTGCATATACCCAAATATATAGAGGTGTTTGCTCAACCCAAACCTGCCCCTTTGCGTCTATGTCAGGTGCCTGGTCAGGAGCAGCATGAACAGGAGGACCTTTCCAACGCAGACACGATGCCAGTGCCTGGTCGAAGGGTGTAGATGGAAACCAGATCGTGGGCAAATGGGAAACATATTCTCAGAATCTGAGTGTCCATGGATTCCGGCTTACTTCAATTCCATATGGCTTACCAAGGCAACAATGGAGGAACTCGAAGATGCAAAGAGGCCGGCACCAAACTCCACTACGACAACACCGGTCAAGGGACCGCCAAAGAAACCTCGGCAGGTTTCTTGGAGTATTTATATGCTGGTACAACATGTGAAAGCTTGCAGTCGGAAAGTATCTCACGCTTTTGAATGTTAATTTGGAAGTCATGGTTGGGTGTGTTGGAAGACAATGAACCAATATGGAAAGGATCTAGAACTGGTTGGTGCCCTCAAAGCGTATGTTTTTGTATATGATCTCAACTGTATCCGCATTGGTTCGCAAATATTGAACAAACATGATGTATACCGGCATGCCGGAGCTTTACCATGTTTGATACACTATGGTCTCCACTAGAATCATTTGAGCTTGAATGAGGCGGGTCCCGGTTCCAGCGGTGAGCATGAGCAGCGGGCACTATGCGCAAAGAGCAAACCCAAGAAGGATGGTAGAGGGTTTGTCACTTTCTGCATGGACACATCAGCAAAAGTTGTAAATGGTGTACTTTGCATCTGCATTTCGACTTCTAGCTATAAATATAAAGTGCAGCTATATGACTTGTGACAGCACCTGTTGACCATTAGTTCAGGCTGTGTATAAACTCATATGTTCATGCAACAACTATATTTAATCAAGCTATAGCCCTGCAGGATGACAAGTCAGCAGATGCGGTGAAAGACCTACAGGCTCAGCTCAATGAAGCCTGGGCCCTCATTGACAAGATGCGTGGATCCGGATCCTCTAGCTCTGTTTCACCTTCTGTGTTGACGCCAACAACGCGTGCAAGCACAGCCACCCCACCCTCGGCTGTACTCGCTCGTGACGCTGATGTTGAGCCTGCTACACCAGCTGTGCCCCAGCTAATATATTTGCTTCCGCATGTGCATCCATGCATTGACATGAGGGGCTCCACAAACAGTGATCTAATGTGCATGAAACTATATCATGCTTTGTATTGTTTTGGAACCTGGTGGAACGTGGATCTGTGAAACTATAATTAATTGAACTGAAGAAATCAACTAAAGGTGTCATGTGTATACATGAGTTTACTTGACCTTTGGAACCTGCTGGAAACAAGTCTGCAGGGCGAGTCCTCTGACAAAAGAAGTCCCTTCCCTTGCGCCTTTCAGGATGTCGGCGATGACGACGAAGGCCACAAAAACGCTCTGAAGCGCTACGCCTTGGTCGACGCAAGACTGCGGCGCTTATGCGAGCAAAAGCCGTCGGGCAAGATCCAAGTTCCAAAGGCAATCCACGAACAGTGGAAACTAGGAGGGAAAGCCCGAGATGAGCTTAGAGTCTTCTTCGAGAAATTTGATCTCAACAAGGCACCTCCAAGCCCAAAGACATCCAAAAACAGTTTATGTTTCAATTTATGTTTATGATAGGAAGGAGGCCTTTTAGTTCGGGGGAGCTGTAGCATTGAACCTGCCAGGAACAATTCATCGCCAATGTGGTCAGGATGATTGAACGACGAAATGAAGACGCTCAAGAGATCAAGAGTGGATGGTTCACCCCAGAGCAGATGAAGACTGAGCTGCAGTGGGGCGCGTACCTTGCATCAATGTCATTTGTTTCCCTGAGGAGGAACCCCAGCCGTGAAGAGATATTTTAACAATGTCCTGTTGACTCACGAAATCTCACGAATACGCAGAACACAATGTATAAAGTTGCAAAAAAATCACACTTAATGCTTTCTAAAGCTATATATATTCAACCCCTCAGGATTGAACCAAACCAGTCTACAATTCCAGCTTATTTAATTAATATATATATATAGGCATATTCACGGTATATATGTGTGCACGATACACGTGTTGCCCGCTCCACCCGCTCCACAATGCATAGACATTCTGAGGGCCTACATCAAAGATGTTGTGGCCTACTGCAAGAAGCATGGCCTTGTCAAGAAGCTGGGGTTGCAAAAAGAAATGTAGGAGGCATGTGAAGCATGATGAACCCACCACTGACTTTCGTGGAAAGAGCTTTATATACTCTCTGAATGCATTGGGGGTTGTTTAAACCACACTTTCCAATTTGCACGGCTCAGGAATGACAAATACAGCAGCAAGGTGTACAAGTACTTCGTGGAGTACTCCGACAAGGAGTCCAAAAAGAAGATGTACATCGAGAGTGAGACGCACACCTCCACTGAGCAGCAGGCAAATACAAGCAAACATGGGCAAGGGTGCTATATATGCAAACCTTACTATATAATTTGCAGGTGCGCGTGGTTTACGACGATAACAACATTTATAATTTGGGCGCATTGATACAGGAACAATCTGTGTGCTCACATGTGCACTTTGATGTATGTTCATGAGACATGTGGGTATACATCTTGAGGGCTTCAATGGTCTCAAAATGCACCACCACTGTCACGCATATGCTACAGCTGACCGATGCCTTCCCACATGTCTCTGCATATACCCATGTGCAGCATGTGTTTCTTGATGTCCATGTGTATGTCGATGTGCGACATAGATGAGTTCGCTGCTTATCGCTTGTATACTTGAGCCTTCCACCTGTAAAGAAACATTAACATTAATATCATCTATATATATATATCGATGTCTCTGCCCAGGCTTCCGGACCATCGCTTCAAGGCAATTGGCTCGAAGGGTCGACGCGTGGTGAGGAGGAGCCTAAGTCCCCAACGCGGCATCAGGTGCAATCGCCAGAGGAGGGAGTACTTTAGCTGAAACATACTGTATTCGTCTTTGGTCTGCGTTGGTGTTCTTTTCTGAAAAACTATACATAATCAAACACATGAATGAAAAACGCCTGAGGATCCTACCATACATGTCTCATCATGGATTCAAACAGTATTTGGTTTAAACACTTGTATGTGTCTGTGTTCGGAGTTGTTATTTGAGATATTGGGGTTCAAATGGTTATAAGTTCTAACCATGAATCCAGGGTTTCAAGAACAAAGGAAAACCATCAAATCTCAGGAGATGGAGGTTGAAGAAAAGTTCAACAGTGGCATGTTGACAAAGATGAGCAAAATCACCGACTTGATGAGCAAGCTGGAGGGACTGGTTGGCCTTGAAGGTGTGAACGGTGAGGACCAAACCCGTTGCAGAAAGTGCCTCATCTTTCAATTAGATATACTCTCATGTCAAGGGAAGGACATGAATATGGCCATTCCACATGTCCGAACAGCGGACCAATGTGCAGCCTGAAGCTTTTCTTTTGTGATGAAAGATTCATGTGGGAATTGAAGGGTAAACTGCAGGTCACCATCATTTTCTACAATCCATACCCACAAACATCCATGTGCCTTGCACCCAGGCTCGTCAAGTGCTTGGATGACAAGCTGCAGGATGCGCAGCGGTCGTTCAATGCCTTTGCGGAGGGCCGCTTGTGCGCAGGGACACAGCTGCCGCGAAGCGCTGAGAATCCTAGCTGCACCCATGTCCAAACTACAAAAAACATAACTCTGAAACAGTTGTTTTACATGTTGGTAAACAGATCACGCTGTAAAGTTGTAAACGCAGAAGTCCCAGTTCTAGTTGCACAAAAAAATGCTCACAAACATTCAAGCAGCTTTTCCTTTGTGCCAATGTTATTTTAGTCTTGATCTTTAGCCAGGATCTTGAGTTTACATCAAAACTGATTGGCTTAGTTGGCACATGAATGCATGCATGCTCGTGATGCATATTGGCCCTCACACAGCTGTTCTGCCGTTAACCTTTTTCTGTCCATGTGGACTGAGGGCCACCCAAGATGTCAAGAAAAAGATGCGAGACTGTATGGGCAAGATGCTTGTCGGCATTTTTTAACGCAAAAGACGAACCATGTAGACGAACCAAAAAAACGAAACACGGAATATCAAGACACAGGAAACCATATGAATAGCTTGACAAAATGCACTATGTGTCATGAACTTTATTGCCAGTGTATATATGTGTGAGATTCACCAAATCACCACCCCTTAAATGAAACATTTTGCTATCGCCTGCCCATCAGCAAGCATCAAAAGTAACTAAACAGAAAAGGGATCCTCCTTTCCTATACTTGCACATGTGTGATGTTCGTTAATTCTTTTCATATCGACACCTGTTCTCCGAAAGACGGCCGGTAATGTACATCTGCCCATCTCGCTGTACCTGAGGGCCGCGCAACTGGCATCCATCGAGGCTCAGGGCAAGCGTCTCGCCTGCAAAGGGATTGATTGTGGCCAGTGGCAGTGTTTATATAAAGAAGTACATCGAAGATATAATACAAGCAACAAGAAGAGCATCATGCATTTTCTATATACATGCAACATATATTGGCAAAATATGTGGTATGTTTACTGCAGGGATTTCCAGTGTGGTGTTTTGTGCTTGCAGAAACCCAAGAAAGGAAGTCTATGTTGAGTGTCATGGCAATCGGTTCCCCTGAGGGCTTTGGAGAAAGCCATCAAGAAAAAGCTCAAGGACCTTGCTGATGAGAGGGAAGAAGCATGAAATTGCTTCTTGTGGGGATTTTGTAACACCGGGAGCGGTGTTTGCTGTTTATCCATCAGCCGTGTTACAGTGACATGCGCTGAGGCTGCTACATGTAATTTGCTTTTTCTATCGAATCTAGAATGGTGCGATTGGCTTAGTTTGGCTGGGGTCACCTGAATGCATCCCATGCTGTGCCAAATCCACTGTGAACAATCTCAGGCGACATGGGGAAAACAATCATTTGCTGTCAAGATCTCTTGGTTCACTTTACGTTTGCATGGTTCACCAATGAGTTTTCTCATCACTTTCCACATCCCCTCCCCCCTGCTCCCACTTGGATCGCCCAACAGCCTCACCATGACCATGCCAGGCGCTGAACCTGAGTTGCATGGGCTTGCAAGGATGGTCGGCCGGGGCGTCGGGGATCTCAATGCAATGGGCTGGGGTCTGCTACACGTGTGTGCTGTTGTTGGAACCGTGCCATGAAAGTCATGGCTTTGCAGCCCATCCATGTGCAGTGGATGGCCCAACTGCCAGCTAGTATACATGCATGTGAGAGGATGTATACATAAAAGAAACATACTTGTTCAATGACACTGCTCTGTTAAGTGGTACTGTTGAATGCTGTATATATGCGTCTGGAGAAACGACCCTTATATGACCCTTAGCCTTAACCTTTTTGACATGCACCCGGCTTTGCCATGGAAGCCGGCCGATGATGATCCCGAAGAAGAACTTCGAGATCTGCTCACTTATGAGTGCCCCTATACTGGAAGAAAACGATGCCCACCACTTCTAAAGGAGAACCAGTCTCCATCGTTACCAGGCTGCAAGGTAGAGGTTGCATGTCATCTGTTTTTTTGCAAACAGAAGTGAGAGGAAACAACATGATCAAAATAGATATTTATATGTGGTCAACATTGTTCAACTATGTTTGGGAAGCCCAGGAGTAGCATCAACACCCAATCTGTGTCATGTGCTGGCGATGGGCCATCGAAGAAGTTAGCTGTGCCTTGCTCTACATGGAAAGTGTTGCTGTTTCTGTTTCTCTGGTGGTGGTGTGAGCATGTATGAAATCCTCTAGTTCTTCAAACCTTGGGAGTGGCAGGTGCGATCATCGACCTTGGCAGGAACATCGGGGCATGATAATGATTCGACCTGTGGTTTACCATTGGGTCATGAGGAGTTGAGTGATCCGGTATTGAAGGAGCAAGAATTGCTGTGCCAAAACGATGGCATTTGTTTGACCTATAGCTCTTACCGGCGATGGCACAAGTCCTCTGCTGGCACAGTTCTGAATAGATGCTTGCTGGAGGTGGACCGTTTCAGGGACAGGATGTCGAAACAGCTTTGTGTTTACAAAGTAGGAATGACATCCAACCCATGCATCCGGTTCTCCTTTTACAAGGAAGACAATTATACGCACATGAGCATTCTCCATGTCACAAAGAACATTGGGGTGGCCCAAATGCTGGAAGCGGCGTTGATCAGTTGGCATAAAACCAACCATGGGTGCCGGAATGAACGGCTTGGAGGTGATGGACCCCCGAATGAAAAGGAGCCTTATCACTTTGTGTATGTTGTTGGAGCGAGGGCAGACCAGCTGAAACGCATCCGGTGAAGTTTACAATGTTGTGTGTCTTTGCGCAATTCGATGCTGCAATTGCACATTATCCTCCTGTTGTGTTGAACCTTAGCACGCTGGCGGAAATAGACTTGAGTGGAATTGCTATGCAAGCTTTACTCCACAGTTTTTTTCAACAGGTGTAGCAAGCTGTTGTTTGGGCTGTTTTGCAGTTGTGCAAAGGGCATATAGCCAACTTCGTGCTTCCCATGCATGCACCCTTCTGCTTAAGCCAGAACCTGTGTCCCAGCTTTTGCTTTGGCCAAGGTCCCATGCGCCGATGTGATCAAGCAGGCGCGTTTGACCCGAAATGCTTCCAAGGGCATGAAAGCTCTAGCCAAGATCGATACAAAGAAGAGCGAAACGGGTTGCCATAGAGTCTTTAGACAGTATGGCCAGGCAGCTGATGTCAGGATATCGTATGTCGATTTGCCGAGCAAATCACGTTTTCCGTACGTTCGCTTCAGCGACTGGTTGGAATTCATTGTGACCAATGATGACCTGGACTGTCTGGTTGGTGTGAAAGATTTGAAGTTGATGCGGAAAGCGCTGGATGTTTTCTGGCGAAGGTACCAGGGAATTCAGCCAAATCATGTCATTTTTGACATGGCTAGCCGGGGGGAGCTGGACCCTTCGATGACTGTGCCAGTTCTGTGGCATGGAGACGAAGGCCGTGGACTGAAGAAGAAACAAATCCTGATCTTATCAACGCACGGCTGTCTTGGACAGGGGACAACAAAATCGCAACACCTTCAGAGAGAAGATGCTGATGATGAGAGCTGCCCTCTGCTCCTGAACATGAAGGGGCACACCTTGAAGACCCATTTCATCCAATCAGCAACTCCGGTAAGCCTTTACAACAACAGCCCACAGAGCTTCAACATGTTGCTGCAGATCCAAGCAGATGAGTTTACTTCTCTCTTGAAAGAGGGCATTGAAGTCGAAGGCCGACGCTTTTGGGTGGCATGTTTGGGATGCAAGGGCGACGCGCCCTGGTTGACCAAAGCTGGAGGATTCGATAGATCCTATGCCCGCAGGCCAACAGCCAAGGAATCGAAGAAGGCATGCGCTGGCATTTGCCATCGCTGCCTGGCAGGCAAAGAGGATTGGCATTTCCCAGTGCCATTTGAAGAAATTGGTACTTTGCAGCCTGCCTGGCTCCGGACAGTCGGCATTGCACCAGCCTACTCTGTGCCTGCACCGTTCTTGCGAATACCGTTTGACAAAGAAGGTCGCAATGATGACTTCTTTCGATACGATCTGTTTCACAATTGGCACATGGGAGTTGGAAAAGCCTTCATCAGCAGCGCTGTGTGCATCATCATGGAAGTCATCCCAGAGACGATTGTCAAGACATTCGACCTTCTGACGGTTGACTTTCTGGGCTATTGCAAGGCACACAAAGAGAGTCCCTACCATCACAAGTTGAGTCCTACTTTGTTTGGCGTTCACCAGGGCTTCCAGGATTGCCCTGATGGTGGCTGGTCCAAAGGTGACTTCACGAGACTTCTTCACAAGTGGTTTGGGGACTACTGCTCGAGGAACATTGTTGGCAAGCAGGATGACCCGCTCTGTCTCAAGTGTGTGCGCTGGTTGCACATTGAAACTGAAACATTTTGAATTTTTCTTGTATCATTTTGTGTCATTTGATTGCATGGGGACATGTGGGCTACTCTTTTTCAAGTGTGCTATCTTGCTGAGGCTGAAGCGGTTTTTGCTGTGAATGACTTCATCAGCGGCCTCTACAGGGAGGGAGTCTTCATCCGGTCTAACAGGGCTCTTGTTCTAGCTCACAGCGGCCAACGGTTTTTGAAGAACTATGCAGAGCTGGCCGCTCTTTCGTATCAGAATGGAATGAAAAGATTCCCAATGATACCCAAGTGTCATTATTTACATCATCAAATCTATGACTTTTGGTTTCAAGCTCAGTCTTGTGCCTGGGCGGTTAACCCGCTTCTTTACGGATGCCAAATGCAAGAAGATTTTGTAGGGCGCCCCAGTCGACTGGGGCGCCGGGTGAGCTCAAGGACAACGTCCTTGAGGGTTCTGCAAAGGCTCTTCGTGGCCATCCGTTCTTTGGGTTTTGAGGAGTGAGCAGGTTGTGATGTCAGTTTCGTTTTTGTGGCTATATTTATCCATGGGTGCGTACCAAACACATGACATGTCATATAGTACCAATAAGGTTTCAAGTGAGCTGAAACACCACCTCGATTCCCTCTCAATCTGAGTCTCCTGCCCAAGCTTGGCAATGAAGATCTCCACGAAGGGGTTCCGATGGAGAAAAGCGGCGGAGGGAGCAGGTCTGGGACTGGGGTGAAGCTGTTTGAGGGTATGTGCATGTGTGGCATGAAAGAGATTAAACATGTCTGTTCATCTACCTGTTGTGCAAAACCAGGTTTTCCAGTCGATGAGCTTTCAAAAGGAGGTTGCAAGAAACGACCTCTCTTTTTCATGGTTGTGCAGGGCTGATGGTAATAACAGGTTCACCCTGCCCATTTCGGACGGGTCACCTGGGTCGGCGGTGCTTTTGGAGAGCATGGGCATGAGCAAATGCCAGGCATCCACCAAACCTGAGACACGAAGCCGGTGAAGGAACTGGGAGATGGATGGGAGGGTTGGGAGGCCCAAACATGGGGAGGGTTGGGAGGCGTTTTTTCAAGATGTTTCCACCTGCTTCGGCTGGCCATGGGACATGGATTTCTGCGGAAAAGAGAAAATGGGACATGACAGGTCAGTGGAACTGGTCGGTGGGACATGGTCGGTCAAGGGCTTGGAAGGTGTTGGGATCATGTTGGACATGTTGAACTACCACAAAATCCCATGTCCCAGGACCGGACCTTCCCAGTGACCTGAATGAGATCCCGAGGTCACTGAATTCGGCCTTGAAAAGGTCACGTATACCAATCCTGAAGAGGTCACTGGGAAGGTTGTGGTCCCTATCATTTGGGTGTTGTAACTTGTAACTTTCACCGAAAAATACATGCTTTCCTGACCCCACTTTCCACACGAATGAGGTGCGATTCGATGGACCATCATGCTCACCTCATCGATCTACCTTGTTCCAAACATCCAAACGGACTACCTCTACCAGCAGTTCCGGAGTTGGGTGCTCTTCATCCAGGGTGCGGTCGGGACACTCCCGACACCACCGGCGCCGACTCCGAAGTCGTGAACCATGGCGCCACGTTGGCGAACGAACCACCTCCGCTCCGCGCGCTCCGCGCCTTGTGTGGGCGACAGGTGGAGCCCCACGGTGACCAACACGATCCGCTTCCTGCCCAACACGTCTGCGGGTCGGACGCGCGGTCCGCGCGGGACAATCGCCGGAAGACAGCGGGGAGGGGGGGGGAAGGGTCGAGGGAGCGGTCCCGGTCAGGGTTGGTGGCTGGAGTGGCTGCTTGAGTCGGAGCAAAAAAGGAATCCAGGAATTGGATTGGGTCAGCAATGCACTTGCCACGAATTTGTTCTGCAGTTTTCAAGTGGTTTTGGGTGATTGGCGAAGGTGCGAAGGTGACCCCAAACCTGTGGACACCCAACTAACCACCCTGGTTCCGCCCAAGCGACCTATTGAACACTGCAAGAATGAATGCTTTGAGACCCCATACTCTACTCCTGTCATGCAGAAAGTCAAAGCTCTCCCATTTCTCCAAGTCTCCCCATTTCTCCAATCTCTGCCTGGACAGTCGTGGTCGCCGACATGTCAGAAGCCTTGGAAGTCCATGTGTTCTTTTTTTGGGACACCACTCCCTATAGGGATCCAGTTCTACCTCCTCAGGTTCGGTACGAGACCCTCCACTCACCCCAGTCCCACCGAACCTCAGAGGGTACGACTGGATCCTTAAGGACTCTATGTATTACTTGTCCCTGAAACAATCGCTTCCTGCAGTGACCCATCGAAACACCACCGAAAGCCGCTGGTGTTCCGCCAGTTATGCGCCCGCGCCTTTCAGGGGTCCAACTGGCAGAGAGTTCCAGAGCGTTGCGGTGGCCCAACTCGCCCTGGCGGTCCGAAAAAACACAACTCGGAGCAGTTGGGGTGGTGGTGCCACGGGGGTCAATGGGGCGGCATATATGGCAGTCCCATGGAGTGTATGGGAATGTTTTCTGCAGGATCTTTGCAACAGATTCTCCTGGGTTTGATGGATGAAAAGGCAGATTTGTGGGGATAGTATGGCATAGTTGGAAGATCTTTTGAAAATACCCATATACACAGTACTTGGATCTTCCAACGATGCCAAATTCAATCCAGCCGAAAGGCAGACATTTTGCTCTGGAGGGATTGACATTGGGTACGTACGGTATATCCAATTCCCGCCTAGTGGATGATGGTTAGCTTTTAGACTTGTAGGCCAACATCTCTAAAAGAAGTGACAAAATCCTTGTTTGACTTTTACAGGTCGATGGTCTAATGGGACCCCCACAGCATGTATGCCTGTATGCCAAACACCGCCCTGGCTGGGTAGACTGGTCTATTTTCCGAACCTTCATGGGGGTCGGAACAAACTAGTAGGTATCCTTATTTTAATACGTCACAGCCAGATTTACGGAGAATGAAAACAGCATCTACAGTGGAACTCGCACATGCCTGATTGGGGAACAGTCAATGTTCCAAGTAAACACTCACATGTGACATGTGTGACATATTCATAGATCCAAACCATCCTATGGCACATATCTTTATACCTTCATTCAGGTGGTTTCAGGAATGAATTGAGGTAGTACATGCCGTAGATGGAGTGTCTGGGGTAAGCAAAAGGTTGAACACGCAAGGGCGTTTATACATCGTTTGGGGATGGTCTGATTCGGCTTCGGTATGACCTTCCGGTCGACCTTCTGGGAATGAACGGGGGGTCTTGAAGGGTCTTGAAGGCTTTGGTCCTAGGAGGTGGAACCTTCAACTCCCTTCTTGTACTCCTTACTGTGAGGAGTCACACCGCTCTGACAGTTGGATTCAGGGTCACAAATGCTCTTTTCTGAAAACCAACAGCTACTGTTCATGCCTGCAATTTGACAAGTAAGCTTGCAATCATTTGTGGGCATCCACCAATCCAAATGCAAATTGAAACCATTTGGGGAGCCATTGGGCAAGATTGTCAACTCAGCACGGAACCACAGGCTGTCCAGGAAATTTGATTCCATGAATGGTGATATATGGTGATGGTGATGTAGAAACGTCCTTTGTGTTGACTTCAGTACTTGCAAGCGTACGGTGGCCAAAATCTGCAAAGAAACAGAGGTAGGAGAAGGTAGAGGCATGGACAGAAGTTGGACTATACTATGACTATCATATACTAATACTAATACTGACTCGCTCTGTTTGCCTTGAAAAAGGTTAAACCAAACGTTCCATCATGTTTTGTCTGTTCATATTTAGTGGGGGAGACCAATCCCCAAAAAAGGTTTTGCAGGTTATCCACGTACTTCCTGGGTAGGAACATCATCAATCGGATCATCATATCATCATCTTGAAGGGGCACATGCATGCAAAGCCTCACATGGCAAAAAACCTCCAGTGAATAAACAACATCTTGGCGCTTCTAATTCTGGAATTTTCAGGTGTCTCTTTTTATATAGGCCACATCACTGCAGAAAAGGACACATGACGTAGTCACATAGCAGCAGGTGGTAGCAAATGCACCAAAGTGCCAAGAAAAAAAAACACTCGTTTCCCACACCATTCTCTTCCAACCCACCATACTAGTAAGTCAGGAGCCCTTGAATAAAAATACAGTGTTCCGATTCATCTGCCTTTCTTTCGTCATGCTTCTTCTTTCATGCAAATCCTAGTCTGAAGAGCCTTCAGACTTCACCAAACATAACGACCAAAACACACCAGTCCGCTAACGACCAAAACAGTCCGCTCACTTCACCTTCACCTTCACCCCCTGGACCGCGACCCCAGATCCCGCCTCCAAGGCTGAGCACAGGAAGACGCTGCGCCCGCCGGCGCGGGCGAGGCTGTGGCCGATGAGGCCATTGAGCCTCCGCCCCGGATCCCAGCGGCTTTAGGCCAGGTCACCAGCCGAGTCCGTTCCCTCCATGTGAGTCGACCGGGCCACATTCCTATACTGATGACATCACATCGACTCATGAAGAAAGACGGCTTGGTGACTGAGTAAAAGACTCTTAACACTGAAAGAGCTGAGTCCCTGAAGTTCTAACGGTTGCATCACGAATTGAGACGCGATGGAGTCCCCGAGTCGTGTATACCGATCTTTCGTTGGATGGAGTTGGGGGTCCAGGGGGGTGCAGCGGGTCACCCAGTGGTTGGAAACAACAGAAATCGACTCAGAAAGCATGAGAAAGCCGACAGAAGCCGACAGAAACTGGGAAGTGGTGGACGGTTTTGGATGGTGGACTCACGTCTGACACACTGGTTCACCTAGAAGAAATACCATGGTATTGCTGCTGTTGCTGTTCCTCTTGATATTCTCACCAGAGGGAGCTTGTCACGTGTGATCTCTAGAGTCGTTGGGCACAATCCCCAAGTTCGGCGGTTTCCTACAAGGTCAGGAAGTGCACTACAGGGCCACAGCCTTTGATCAACAAGGTCCAGGTAGATTATATGCTGAATGCTTTGCTGCCCAAATGGACCCCTATATGAAAGACATCTTTGGGTGCCAGTGCCATCCACGCTGAAACAGGAGACCCCCAAAAGCCATCTCGCCCCTGTCTTGGTCGACTGCTCCATGTTCCAGCGAACCCAGGTGGTCCTTGTCATCCGCCTAAAAGTCAGTCTACCTCATATTTGAAGCTGTTGACCATTTTTGTTCGTCCAAACCAGCGCACCACGAGCTTTCAGATCCATGTCCATGTCTGTGTCCATGTCCATCCGCATCCATGCCCGCCCATGTCCGCCCACAGCATGTCGCCCGGCTTCAAGCGCAAAACGCTCTCGGACGCTTCGCCTCGATGCGCGAGGGCCATGCTCGACGACGCGGATGTTCGGTGTTGTGATGCCAGAACATGATGCATGTACCTATAATTATATATATACCCTAGAAGTCCAAAGACTATATTTTGACTGGCTGGAGTAAAGGAAGTTCCCTTTCAGTTCCCCTAAAGACCATTCTTTTTATACCTGCTCCCCTGGCAGGCCTCCTTTTCCAGTCCATATGTCCAAAAGACTTCTTTTTGAACATGTTGGTTGAATTCACGTCCATGTACGCATGTTTACGTCCTTTTGGTTCATCCTACGGTTTTTTCACGTCCAGGACTGCTTTTTTGAGCACATTAGATATAGTGCATTTTATCATGTTTTTTACTGGATTTGAAACACCTTCAAAATGCGGTTGTGAACTCACAATATCTCACAATTGTATTGCACAACAACCCTGCTCCATACACAAGAACCTGGCAGCGCTCCCATTCCCAGCCCAACCTTTTCAACCCCACTCTTCACCAAATCAATGGCGGGCCCATGCCAACTGGATATGGCACAGGTACCTTTCCAAAGTACGCTTCGCGATGATTCGTGGAGAAACGCAGCGAGTTATCACTGCCGTTCTGCCGATGAAGTCCTCGTCAAGGGCGCATGAATACACTGCCGGATTGAAAGCGTAGTCTGCTATTTCTGATTGCCTCTTCAACTCATGGGCCGTCTCATGAAGGAAGTGGAGCTTTGGAAAGAGAGGAAAGTATGGTAGGCCCAAGTGGGCAGATGCGTGCGCCTCATACAAGTAGGCTTTGATGAACTCGTACAAAGCTTTGCTGAGCTCAGCAGCTGTCGCACGTGGCAGGAAAACTTCTCCAGAGTATATGCCACGCATGAAGGTGTTGATCCGCTTTGTTCCAAAAGCCTCACGATGCAAAAATGCACAAAACCAGGCTGGATCGTTAAAACATGGTCGAACACTATAAAACATTCATGGGACATAGGGACATAGGAGCAACAGGCTTTTTCAAACGGCATGTGCCAGAAAGAAACAAAGATTCGCAGGCGTTCATCTCCTTCCACCATTGCAGCTCTTTGCTCGCAAAACTCTTGAAGGAACATCATGAAATTGCTTGTAACAGCAGCCTTGTTCCATGTGCCATTGGCTTCGTTGGCACCTCCTCCACCAAAGCTGTGGATGTCAATCCTTCGAATCACTGGATCGAGCTTTTGCCGTCGGCAGAAAGATCTATACTCAGCACCAATAGCTCGCATTCTTTTGTCCACCTGGGTCTCTGGCACCAAGTGCTGAAGCATCATGATGCCTGATGCAACCCAAGCCTTTCCAATACCCAAGTGGAGCGCATGCCACGGGTCTATGCAATGGAACCTGTTCTTCCCATTGCAGCTGTTGTCCACCAGCAACTCCCTTGTCATGGGAGACTCCCGGTCCCAGGGAACAGGAAGCTCCACTGTAAAGGCCTGGTCCATCGCAGCATCAGCTGCATTCCTGAGCACTCCTAATCTCACTCAACAACCATCTATATGGCTTGATGGAACCATCCAACAATACCTATGGCTCAGAGGACAATTCTCATGCATAACTCCCTTTGTGGCCCATGTCGATCACACAAGGAAAAAAACATTTTGTCAAACAAAGTGGCAAGTCTTCCCAATCTGTTCCCTGGCCGCATGTGCATAGATGACACACCCCTGGCCCTTCAACATTATGGTCTCCGTTCTCTCCAGCTCCCTTTGGTGCACGTCTGTATGACCGTTCCAGATTTGCACTGCTCACCTTGGCTGTTTGTATATATGATCCGCTGTATATGACCTATGCAGGAACATATCGCAGGTCTTTAAATGTCCAAAACATTAGCAGCGGCATATATAGAGCTTATGAATCACACAGAAAAACAAACATGTTGGCAGCATCACCATGAATCCAAATAGCTCCAGTCGCCTTTGTTTCCCAAGACGATGGGAAAAATTCTCCCAGCCGTGCCCCCCAGATCAACGCCCTCCCGTTGAGCCGTGGCAAGGTCTGCTACCGCATTCTCGAACAAAGCGTTCCAAACTCGTCGATCTTCAGCGTACATGTCCTTACAGGGCTGCCAGAAAACATAAATTCCTTTCTTCTCGACAGCCTCCACTTACCATCAAAAAAACATAAAACATAAAGATGTTGAACCCTTGCGTAGAGTCCTTGGGGCACACGCAAATCAACAAACGGGTTTGAAAGCCAGTACGTAAAAAGTTCAAAGGAATTCCATCTGAAAGTGCGCGGTAATTTTCCTCCAAACGTTTGGCCCGTTCTGAAGCTCTCGAGCCATGACCAAATGCCCCCTGCATTGACAGCACCAGTACTCCTCCCTTCTTGTACGCGACGCCTTCGTCACCGTGTAGGAAGATCGGAAGACACCGATCAAGTGTCTTCCTGTGGGACTCCACCTCTGCCCACAACTGGTGTTGGGGAAAGAGAGCTCGATACTTGGCCCAAAAACTCAAAAGCATCCCCCGTGCTTCTTGCAACGAATGCCCTCCAAGCAGATGACTAAGATCGTTCATTTTGGACATCGCCTTCAAGAAATTGCTCGGTCGTATCCATGGAAAATTTGAAAGAGGAGGAGACTCTTCAATACTGATTTCCACAGGATAGTAAAAGTTGTGTGAGCGAAAGATCTCAGAGACAGCTTCTTCCTGCATGAATGGAGTGGTGGAATCATGCACGTATATATATACAAAGGCTTCAAAAAAGTCAGGGTAGTAGGTTTATTTATTTTACCATACCAGGAGTATGTAATAAGCTGTCACACAGAAAGACAAAAACAATGAGGGGATAAATGGTAACCCAGAGTCGGATTTTCTCGGGTCCACTGGCGCAAGAGCTGACAGAACCGGGCAAGCCACTGTTGAGCGAGAACCTTCGCGCACGTCCCGCATTTCTGCAGCTGCGAATGCGATGAGTTCATTGCATTTTTCCTGAGATTTGCTGACATGACATGGGGTAGGTCATGGAGGATTCACATCATGCTTTCCATTTACAAGTGCTTTCCCCATCCAGTTCACCTGAAATTACATGAAACAATCCTATACAGTCTGAAGTCTTTTGCTCATTGTTACATATCATTCTTTTGGATTATCCACATAACCCCTTTCATGGCATGCACTTGAATAGACATGCATTTTTAGTTCCGAGATGCACCCCTGCCGTATTTCCATGCGAGCCTCCGAGCTTTATGTGAGGGACCTGGCGTTGGAGAGCATCACAGTTTGTGTTGTGGGTTGAAGTCGGAGTGTTATCATCCAGGTAGAGATGATTGGAGTAAGTTGCCAAGCAACACATCCTGAGAATGAAGAGGCTTGAAAAGGCTGATTCCTAGTCAGGCCTATTGCACAGAAGTGAAATCTGAGTTAGTGAAGGACCATTTTGACACCTGGCGATGTGCAGTGGTAAGCCACGGCAACACACGAGCTCCATAGGTTCCCCAGAGCTGCAACGACTTTAAACTGATTCATGTGGTTTTCCACATGACAACTCCCCTTCGTATATAGAAAAACACCCTGAAGCGCACCGCAAGAGGATATATATAGATCAATAAACAGTCAAACAAACACAAGAGGTGCATGTGGAGTTCATTGAGTTATTTTGAATGTTGTGTGTGTATTTACTGCAATTGGCCATCATCGAATCCAACGTGGCAGCCTAGGCCGCATTATGCCGCCTTGCCACGCGTGCGCTTCTTTGTACTGGGAGCAGCAGGAGCTGCAGTGGCTGACTCTGAGTGATCTCCCTTTGAAGATTTACCTTTGCCAGCCTTACCCTTACCCTTATTCTTTTTGGGGTGCTTTACCCCTTTGGCAGACTTCCCAGACAGCTTCCTCTTGTTCTTCGTGGTACTCGAATTACCAGTGGCGTCAAGCTTCAACTCTTTGGCCAGCTGCCTGCAACCACAGGCGGAAATGGCACACATGCAGATTCTGCAATTACCAATGGTCGACAAACACCCATGCAATGCAACTACAAATGTTACGCGCGTTGAAACATGTTGAATGCAGGAGTTTGACACAAAACCGGTACATTGGCCTGTAGCGAGATTCCAACGGGATCAGGAGAGTGCACCTGAGATGATGGTTGGCTGCTGGGTAAAGGAAACAGTTGAGGCCTCTCATTCTTGTTAATTTGAATTTCCGGTGTATTGGAACAGCATTCCGAGTTCAGTGAAAATTGCATATTTTTTTTAATCAAGCAACTGATTCCTCACCTCATTCTTTTGATCAACGACCTCCTTCAACAGCCTAGGTTGAATGAAGCGAGGCTCATATACAAACACCTGATGCATGACAGAAACGGTTGTTTTCCCTTCCAAACACTTTTCTAGTTCGGCGGACTCCGAAAGGAGCGGTACACGATGTAAACCAAGAAAGGGCCGCTCGCGTCAGACTTGATCGTCTCCCCTCCGTCCCGAATGTTCCTGCACCCAGATTGTCCTGGGCAACGAGATTGTGTATAGGGTATTGCACTTTCTTGTGTATATATAAGCCCTCCATCAAAAAAACAACAATAGAACAATTTGATCCATTGGATCTTCGAGAGTCCTTTATGACGTTGTATCAAAGCACCCTCAACGAAAGCAGGAGATACCGGTTCATTGGCGGCATAGATGACTATCATTTTCTCCCATTTGTCGACGTCACATGCATACCCAAAGACTTTGTTGTGCCACCGGAAGGAAGCACAATGAGTATAGCCAACCTTGAAGATACATGGTGTTTGCTTCTCAAGGACCCGATCAACTGTTTCCCAGCAGTGCTTCATGATTTGCCCTGCAAGCATGCCAGGACGTTTTGGTAAATCGTAGTCCAACATCGGGTCCCCTTCAATCTTCTCAAAGCATTCCTGGGTCCTTGGAAGTAAAAGAGTCCTTTGGTCCAGGACAGCTTGCCAATGGTGTTTTCGAGCACGTGCTCCACGAGAAAGGACTGCCGTGATCATGCAGAGGGAGGGGTGCAAAGCAGGAAACTATAGACAGGTGACATGAGGGCTTCTGACATGTTTTCATTGGGCGCACCTTGAGCATCACCCTTGGCATTTGGATTCATTGGAATGCTTGCCTGCCCGTTGACAAGCAAAGAATATAGCTCTACATACATGAGGCACTATATAGCCACTATATACACTGCTTCACCCATTCCACTGGATGAATGGGGCCTCCCGGTTGTATGCGAGAAGTTCTTGCAACCAATCTTCCGCGTCATCATTACCATGGCCGCAACGCATAAAGAAGGATCGGACTCCCGACCAGCCAAACCCCAAACCCCAGTGTGTTTGGCTGAAGAGAAATATATAATCACAAGATTGATTCAACTTCCATGGATCGATAACATGGTGAAACTGCAAGACTAAAAGATTTTCCTGCATGATAATAATATACCAGCAACTGAGTCAAGCGGTCACTGGCAAGCTGTCCGTCTCGGTGGTCCATTCTGAGCTCCGTGAGGTAGGAAGCAAAACGTTCATAGCTCGCATCCATACGCTGGCCAAGAGGTACAAGAGATCCATGCAACCTGATGTAAGAGAACATGGTGGGGGTTCTTTATATGTGGGCGCACATGCTGTGGAGAACAAGACTCATCAAAACATATAGAAGTAAAGTGTGCACTGCACATGCTGACTCTTTAAATCAAAGGACTTGGTTGCTGCTTCATTTTTTTGTGGCGCAAGCTTACCCACCATCTTCTCAACAGACTGCTTTTTTTTTCTCGAGGGAGTTCATGTAGCTCTCCAAATCCACGACAGGCTGGCAGGGAAGTTTCAGGTGCATGATCACCATGCATGTGTTGCGCAAACGTTCATCTATATGTATGCACCATTCTGCACCAATTGGGATGTGATCATTCAACAACTGACCCGATACCTGTCCTGCGAGCCCACAACCTCCGGCTTTGACACAGGATCCGGGATGTTCACCAAATCGTGAGGCAGCCCAGCCGGAGCAGCATCCAGGGCTTTGTCCTGGATAAGTGGAGCAGTATCACAGGGCAAAGGTTGTGGAGAGTTGGGAGATCAAATGGTATAAACATCGGACATGAACATGTTTCCTGGCACACATGTTTCAATGATCGATCGATGATAAAGTCTTGCTTTTTGTGCTGAAGGTTTGGAACCTGCATCCCCCAAAAAGACTGGTTAATGGGATTGTGCAGTGGGCCCATTGAAGTGGTAGAGGACCGACCAAATCCGGCTTGAGAGTATTTGCATACAGCACCATCACCACAAGAGTATTGTTGTGCCAAGTGTCCCCAAGATCCGTTTCTTCTGTGTGGCGAGTAGTGTCTGACTTCTTGACCAGGGTCTTGTCTTCAAGAATGATGTAATACTCAGAGATCTGTTCGTTATACTGCCATGGCCTCCCAAAGACATGATTGGTGTCAAAACTTACTGTGACAAATCATGATGCCAGCATGTTATATTGTGGGTGTATATATAGAGGAAGACAGTTAATTGAAACATCATGGCTGGCATCAATGAGAAATTCATCATGGCTGGCATCATGCATAACAGTGTCTAAACTGACCGAATACACTTAGCTGCTAGCCTTACCAAGGACTCTGGGAACTTTTTGCAATAGCTGATAATATTCTTGATCGCAACAGCTGAAAATAGGCCACACTTCTTGAGTGCATCTTCGGTCATCCACCGACCATGCTTTTCGCTCTCTCGGCTTTCCAGTCTCTCGCGGATGAGCTTGCACTTTTGAACGAAGTCCGCCTGGCTCCACGAGGCAGGGCTCAAGTTTGTGGATGGGAGGAAACCATGTGTGACTGCATCCCTGAGCAAAACCCATCCAAAGCCATGAGCAGGCAAGCAATCTGTTGGGCCTTGATGCGCTTGTAGCAGGATCTGTCCAATCCATGTTTTGCGAGGCATTCAAGAAGAGCCATTTCAAGAACCTCCCTGGATTCACCTGCCTGCTTGTATTGGTTAGCTACATTTGCATCGACATGACACCGACCAGAGGGTTTGGTCTCACACAGTCTGCGACAACGCATTCTCAATGCGTCGGTGGAGATGTTAACCTTAGACGTTCACTTGGATCGAGGCATGCGGTGTCCTTTGACTGATTGGATGAACAGTCACAAAGGTCAAATATATACGCAACAAGACTGTTCAACACTGTAGGCATATATAGAACATGAGTCCAGGAACACGATGTCCACCTGGAGTCGTGACCCAATCATCATCATCTTCCTCTTCACCATTAGAGGCAGCCCCATCACCAGCAACAGCGGGTGGAGTCGCATTTCCCGGATGTTGCACACTTTTTGTTTCCGGCTCAAGTGTTCTGTTCTGAGTCTCAACTTGGCCTTCCAAATTCGATACACGTGCGAGCGTTTGTTCAAGAAGCTGTTCAAGTCGTGCTTGACTACAGTTTTGCTTTTCCTGCACTTGGCATTTAGCTTCCAGCTCTTGAATCTTTTGCATCAATTCCTGGTTCTTTTTCTGCTCAGCTTCAACTAAATCGTTGCGTGGGCTGGGAGCTGGCACACGTGCCTGCATACATGCAACTCTTAAA